AGAATCATCCTCCACCAAGACAATGCAAGCTCGCACACAGCCCAAAAAACAAGGCAGTATTTAACCGAAGAAAATGTGGAATTATTGGACCATCCTCCATATAGTCCCGATCTAAGTCCTAACGATTTCTTGTCTTTCCCGAAAATTAAAAACAGACTGCGTGGTCGAAGGTTCCAGTCACCAGAAGAAGCAGTTGACGCATTCAAAAATGCCGTTTTGGATCTGCCAGCAAGCGAGTGGAATAAGTGCTTCGAAAATTGATTCGAGCGCATGCAGATGTGTATTAATCTTCGTGGAGACTACTTCGAAAAACAATAAAGTCATTTAAAACTACCTACCGTGTTGTTTTATTTCCATATGCAAAACTTAAAAGACATCCCTCGTATACTATAATGGCATGATAGGTATAGCACTTATGGAAGTACGATATTTTGTTAAGGGGCTTGGTTAAGAAACGAATATTTCTCAATCTACAACGGAAATTTGCATTTTTTGTGGATGATATGCTAAGGTCTCAGTAAGTAATTTTTGACATTATCATGACTTCGCGTAGAATTTTTTTATTACTAAAATCATCTCACAATTTTGGATCACCCGGTATATGCCTGCGCCTAGATTTAATCACCATTCAGGTCTGATTAAAATTAAGGGTTACACTCATTTCACTATCTGCTAGCTGCAAATTAGTAAAAGCTGATCGTTAATTTTCAGAGTTGACAATAATGAGATTTCCTACAAAAAAAAGCACTCGAGTTGTATCGAATCGCTATTACCCGGTGTTTAATTGCAAAAAATCTTAATTATTGTATATTGAGCACTTAATCAACGGTAATTGTTAATAGACATGAAAAAGCACCTTACCACTGTGCAGATCCGTATTCAGAACCGTATGCAAAATCGTTCCAATTAAAACCGAATCATTTATTGATTACAATAAGTTCCAGAATAGGGCTAACAGTGGCAAATGGAATTTATGCCACAAAAACAACCTTGGCACATACGAGTTACAGGACTTTTTTTCTGATAAAGAAGTCTGATCGATCTGTGGGCTTTGTATGGCTGTTAAGACTTCATTTTTTCACATTCAACAGCCCTCCTGTTACTCATTCAACGAGCAAAGCAAATATGATGCTTCCTCAATAAGCATGAATGAAAAACTATACTTGTCTCTTAGCTGGGAGAGGATTGAGTCTTATATTTATTGTGACTCCAGTATTTTAAGAAAGTGATTCAACATAGCGGTCCTTTATCATTCCATTCATGTGTAAGTGAAAGATCAAGTAACTTCTGTGTCAACGATCGGCTTGTGTAGCACTCAATACCCCTCATGGGAGTTAAGCTCTGCACTTGATATGGTCTGTTAGCTCGTTTACTTATTCCCAAGGATACTGTAACGTAACCATTAAAAACAGTCGAAAAACCGGTAAACAAAGTTCTTCACTGTTGAAAACACTAAGCAACAAAATTACTTTAGGCATCGTCAGTCGTCCCTACAATTGTAGGGCGCGTTTATGGCCTCCTTGATTGTCATACTCCTTTCTCTCCTTCAAAAATTTCTAGATTACACTTGTTCCGTGTCAGCGTCAGCGCTCTCCTATTGTGAAGATATGTTTTCTTTTTAAATTGTAGGAAATTTCAGGCTGATAAAACATGATATAACTCAAAAGCAAGCACAATTTGATGCAAATAGATGTTTGTGACATAACCTCAAAATAGAGCGCTGACACGGAGAAGTAGAAAACTATGACAATCAAGGAGGCCATAAAAGAGCCCTACAATTGTAGGGACGACTGACGATACGGGCCTTAGTCACTCATGTTAAGTGATAATTTTGAAAATGACTGTCACCTATCTATTTGAGGGTATGAGCATGAGAACCTGCCAAAGCGTCGTATTAGGAATGCAACCTTCTATTTTACCCAACAAATTCAAATAGATTAGAAGAAGCATAGTTTTGACTCATGTGCCTACCAATCAATGCCTTCCAAGGTGACAGCGTTGTATCAACACAATAATAATAACTACACGTGGAAACCTTCATTAGGCTTGTTCTACTAATGACAGTGCTATCAAAAAATTAACTTATGTCGAGTGCGCTTTGATCCTCACTAAAGACTACGCGAATTAGGAGACAAATTCTTGACTGGCTTTTTCTACCTAGTCCGAATTCGTTGATTTTACCATGTAGTTACAAATTACCCTATAGAGATAGATGAATTTCAAGAGCCAGCTCCAAAAATAGTTGACAACAAAGTTTTAGATTGTTTCCACGTTGCAAACTCGCTGACTGCGTTTACATCTAGAGAGAATCACTACAAATAACAGACATTATGCCATAGTTATAGCAAACTAACTGCTAATCAAACTGCATTTATAAGGCAAATAGATTTTGTCATAAACTGAGTCCAGCCCTGGTGTGAAGTATTAAGCCGAACTATTTAGCGACATTGTTGCATGATACATTGTAATGTATGTTTGCAAACAGCAGTCGACGATATCAATTGGTGCATGGTTTACGATTTTCTTGCACAGTATGTTACCAGCAACATGACACACTAGGCATGTAGTGCCTCTAGTGTTCTCTTCTTCACCAAGACATCAATCAAGCTCGTATTGTCACTAACAATGATTTGGACCCTGGCCCTATGTTGTTCCTATTTGTACTTTGTGATGTGTGTACTATGTACCTCTTCTTAGGACGAGGCTTATGTCTATCTAGCTAAACCAGTTGCAAAGTCTCCTGGTAACATTTCCATCTTAGAGGCTTGCGGCGAGAACAGCTATTACTAAAATGGCCACAAGAAAAACCTGGAAAATATTTTCAAGTTTCTGATATGGCCGCCAGGGGGCGTAACTGCAATCTTGAATATAATAAATGAGTAAATGTTTCTGTGAACTCCGCTAAAATAACCTAACAAAAAATTCCTAATCTTAAAATGCAAGGATAATCTGAGCCTTTAAATGTTTGACAATTTTTGCTGTACCTCTGGAAATAAAGTGGTAGGGAGTACTCAAAGGTTTCCATAAGAAACGCCCTATATCTTCAGAACGGCTGAGCCAATTTCAACAGGCTTGGGCTAGTTGGAAAGAACTAGTTTTGGCCTACAAATGCTACAATATTTGAAGTGTTGTTAGTTTCAAATGTGGACGCTAAACGGCTTTTTTCGATATTCCTACAGAAATGGTTAATTTTCTCAGAAAAATTAAATGCATTAATTACTGTGATCTTTCACAAGCTCGTGAAAGTTTTATCTCGATATATTGTTCCTACAATCCCTTAAAAGTTCATTCTTGTAAACTAATTTTTTTGGAATTCCTTCTTATTATTGAGTCTTGGCTCTAAAAAACACCGAATGCAAAAGGAAAGGTTTTTAATGTCCCGCAAATGCTTGAGATGCTTGCGCTCTTTGTATTCCTGAAGACTCTAATGGGTAGACAAAACTGCAGCTTCAATTTCGGCTCGCGGTATGTTACGTATTGCATTATGAATCTGGTTTTTCATATCTTCTCTGGTTGTAGGATAAGACTGAAGCACGATGCCCTTTAACCGTCTACGTAAATAAAAATTAAGACAAATTAAGTCTGGTGATTGCGGAGGCCAGTGAAACAGACTTCCTCTTCCAATTCACCGCTGCTGAAATACTCCATTAATATGCTCTCGCACAATAATAGCAAAATGTGTCGGGCAACCATCCAACTGCAAAAACAAGTCTTGTCGTATTTCTGGTGGCACATCTTCCAGTAATAACGGTAATTGATTGTCCATAAAGTCAAGAAAGTCATTGCCATTTGGGGATTGCCCGAAGAAATTTGACCCAATAATTCTGCCTCCCAGTATGCCACATTCAGCCACTATTTAGCTGCTTTTTAATAAAAAAAATCATACCAATTCACATAAACATCACTTTAGATTCAAGATTGCACTTAGCGGTCATTTCAGAAACTTTTCCAGGTTTTTCTCTTGAGCGTTTTAGGTCCATATTGTCAGTCGTTCCTATGGCCTCCATGATTTTGATAATCGTTCCTCTGCTTATGAAAGGCTGGGATATTTCTAGATTTCTAATGTTCCGTGCCAGCGTCAGCGTTCTCCTATTGTCAAGCTGTGTTTCCTTCTTGAATTGTAGGAAATTTCAGGCTATATAACAGACGATATAAATCAAAAGCATGAACAATTTGATGCAGATAGATTTGTAACATAACCTCAAAATAAAGCGCTGACAAGTAACAGTAGAAAACTATAAAAATCAAGGAGGCCAGAAAGGCGTCCTACAATTGTAGGAACGACTGACGATACGGCCCTAAGTAATAACTTTTTGGTGGCTAGGTTCAATGATATAATACCTCGAAGTCTTAGTGGCCACCCTGTACACCGGACATACAAAATGAGGTTGGACAGCCAAAATACAGTCAAGCATAACTCTGCAGGCAGCAAAGTACATCCAAAGATACTGATACCTGCTGCCACGTTGCAAACCTGGAATTACTCCAGATTTTGGAAGCTACTGGTCCTAACATATAAGTTAGAAATAGCAGGGTTGTAAATAAATGAGTTATACAATTCTGCGGCAGTGCAAACGTTAGGTATGCCCTCAAAACTGTTTAAAAAGCGAAAAGACAGAAAAAGACAAATGAAAGACGACCACATTCTCACTGGTCAAACGGTTCCCCGTCTCCTCTGAGAACGCGCTTGCAACTGTACGCGTTAAGTAATGGTCAGGTCTATTACCCTTCTAAATGGTATGGATCGTTGCGTTTGAGAAGTGATAGGTACAAGTTCGGTGCTATTTTGAACTGTACTGAACGTATCCTTGTTACTTCCCTGGCGTCTGTACATACTTTAACGATATTCAAAAATATATCTATTGATCGATAGCCATGGGTAGCTAACTGCTTGTACACCGGCAACCAAAAGGTTAATCCCTCGTCTTTCTATATGTCTAAGAGTTAAAGCTAACATTGAGCTGATTAAGATTATTAATAGCATGAAATTATTGTTCCAGGATTCGATAGCATTCTACAGGTCTTTACCGAAAGAAGTCCGATACGGAATGTACGAAATCAAGAACTTCAACTTCAACCATTACGATTTCCTGTTTGGAAGAAACTCCAAAACACTGGTTACTGATATTTTGATAAAAGTACTCGATAGATATGTAGCGCAACAGAATAACACAAGAAACTCCTCGTGATATGTGATACCAATAATTTATTTTTTATATTGATAAATTGATATACATAAATATAATTTTTTTATTTAATATATTTCTTTTATTTCCGGAACTGATACATATGGTACAGAGGATTGCAACTACGAAATAAATAAATAAGCAGAATGACTAAATTGCACCCAAAATCCATTAATGATAACTCGGCTTAATTTTAGCAATGAGATGACATCCACGTATTCTGCCTAAGGATAGCCAGCCTACTACTATATTCACAGGGAGGAAACGTTACCTGAGATCAAATTAGATACCGTAGCGTCATCTATGATAATCTGTCATAGCTATCTTTCTCCTCTACGCAATAAGCAGAGGTCCAGTTTGGAAATGTTGGTATCTAAAAGATGGCGCTTCAGCTATATGTTCATCTTTCGATGGTGCGATACACAAACGTTGTAAGTGCTATTCTGTTGAATATGAATTATCCACATAATAATCTGGAGATGGAGCATAGAATGCAAAGGGGACAGGCGATAAATACATTTAGGATAACCACTAGTTCCACCTACCAGTAGGTGTAAATAACTCTGGAACACAGATTTTTTCGGATAGTTATAAATTTTCTTCAGTTTGAGCGTCAGCTTTGTACTTAACACATTTATGTGCGAGACCATTGATTTTGGAGGGACCACAGGGTTCCGGTCTAACACAAAATCTAATGAAGTGGAAGCGCTTAACCTTGATAATCCATTGTTTTCAATGCGTGGAATATTTATGATGGCATTCGCTGTGTTTCACTTAATGCTAGGGCTGCGATTACCTAAATTACCGACGCCGGACAAAATCTTCAAATACCACAGGTAAAATTGAGATTTTTCCGAAACAACCCAGATTTTTTTTATAATAAAAAGAAAAGCGCCGTCATTTTAATTTTTTACTAACGTAGCTTGTTGGCAATTCGACTTAGGGCCGTATCGTCAGTCGTCACTAGAATTTATTGTAGGACGCCTTCATGGTCTCCTTGATTTTCATAGCATTTCCTCTCCTTCTGAAGGGCTCGAGTATTTCCAGATTTCTACTGTTCACTGTCAGCGTCAGCGGTCTCCTATTTTGAAGCTATGTTCTTTTTTAATTGTATAAAATTTCGGGCTGATATAACAGATGATATAATTCAAAATCATGAACAATTTGATGCAAAGAGATATTTGTGACGTAAATAATAAGATAAACTACACTAGTGTGTACATACAGTCTTCATAAAGTGCACATATCAAAATCAGAGAAACTACACTCTATTTTATCGACGGATAAATCATCAAAAAAAAATTAAAAACAATAATTGATTTTTTATGAATATTTTAAATTTTTTTAAATAAATCGTTACAACTTTTAAACTGAATGTCCTATCACATTGGAATGAATTTTGTAGTGATTGAAAATAATAGGCCGTACCAGTAAAGTGAAGAATTCCAGGAAAAGTAATGACATCCATTTAGAATAAAGAAAATTTTGATGAAAATCTGTTTTTTTTCATCATTTTTACAATAATTTCAAATTTTCTATAAATATCGTCGCTTGTACGCTACCTTTTTTTATTTGTAAATTATTCTACATGTTATCAGCTTTATAAAAGTAAAAATTGCACGTTTGTTACTCAAATGTAACAGTTTCTATGAGTGTTTATAAAAAAGCCCATGCGCATCGTCTTGCTAGGCACCATTGTTTATCATGTAGATACCTTTTTTTGGTGATTCAATGTAGAGCCGCGCGGGCTGAAGTACGAGTGGGGAGGCGGGCCCAGTTAAAAAACAATTGAATGTTGGGCAGTTAGGCAGCTATTTGTGTTTCTCCTGCCAACTTTATCAGTTTCGTTTGCTACATATCACACTTTCGCTTTTTATCCATTATTATTATGGAATGTACCGACTGAGTGCTAGAGCTGCTTGCACAGCTTATCTAGCTTTCCAAATCGACGTCCTGTTCCATCAGCCCGTAACTTCCAAGAAGTACATAGAAGACTGGCTAACAATGGACTTGGTTTGCCTCGAGATCGCCGCGAACCAGATGTTATTATTCATGTTGCTATCGAAGAAGCCATTTTGGATGATTTGTTTGCTGACCCGACTACTAGTTTGGCGTTACGTCATGGCGTATCCCAGAAATCGGTTTGGCGCATCTTGAGGAAAGCAGGGTTGCATCCATACCATTATCAAAGGTGCGTTATGTCTACATGGATTTTAATAAAAACAAGAGAAAATCCTGAATTCCCGAAAACAATTCTGTGGACAGATAAATCTCAATTCACGAGAGACGGCATCGTGAACTGTCGTAAAGTGGTGCCCAAAAGATGAAAACCCTAGGCTGAAAAGGGCTTCAACATTTCAAGTGAAATTTTCTGTAAATGTGTGGGCCGCACTGATTGACAACTTTTTGATTGGTCCAATAATACTCCCGAGGACATTAAACGGAGAGAGATTTCTGGAGCTTTTGCGGACTGAACTGCCCTTGCTGTTGGAAGAAGTGCCGCTGCAAACCAGTCGAAGAATGATGCTTTAAATGGATGGATGTCCTGCCCATTACTCGCTGATTGTCAGGTCTTTTCTTAATGAAAATTATCCAGGCCGCTGGATCGGTCGACAAGGTCCTGTTGGGTGGCCGGCGCGTTCCCCAGATCTCACACCTCTCGACTATTTTTTATGGGGGACAATGAAACAAAGGGTGTACAGCAGTTCCATAAACAGCGAAGCGGAACTTGAAGAAAGAGCTTTGAGTGTTGCAAACGAAATCAAAAATGATCCCGAGATGATCAAATTTCAGTTCGCGCTACAATGTGTTTGCAGCAACGGGGTGGCCATTTTGAACATTTGATGCATTAAGCCAAAATGATTATCCTATAGACAAGTCTATTTGATTTTATTTGTTAAAGATAATGAATGATTCATGTAGGTTAATACTGTTGTTTTATTCCTACTCTGGCGTTGAACTGAGTTCACTGCTTTTTGAAACGCTGATTTAAAAACTTGTATCTAAGTAATAAACTTGCAATTTTTACCATTAGGAAGCTAATAACATGTAGAATAACTTAACATTTAAAAAAGGTAGGGTAAATAGGACAATTTTTATTGAAATTTAGCAATTGTTTTAAGAATCATTGAAAAAATAGTGAGTTTCAGCTTATTCCTCTTTATTTCAAATTTATAGCATTTAATTTCGTGGAAATTTTCACTTTACTGATACGGCCTATTATTTGCAATCACTATAAAATTTATTCCAATATGATAGGTCATTCAGTTTAAAAGTTGTAACGATTTATTTAAATAGGGTTAGCAGCTGACTCTAAAAATTTTAAAATATTCATAAAAAATCAATTATTGTTTTTAATTTTTTTTGATGATTTATCCGTCGATGAAATAGAGTGTAGTTTCCCTGATTTTGATATGTGCACCTTATGAAGACTCACACTATAACACATAGCCTGATACAAACTATGTCACCTGGCTAGGTAGGCTATCTACCCAAAGCCCTAAACTAAGATTATTTATATTATAAATCAAAAGTAAATTAATGAGTTTCAATATTGACCGGGTCGAATGCTCAGATGATGATGTTTTAATGATTCACTACAAATTCACTTCACTGGGCTGGTATCCGGGCTAGATGAAATCAAATCCCCGGACCAAATTTTCTGTATAAGCACGCGCATCACGAAGGCGTCAGCTGGCTAGTTATATAGGGTGGTGTAAGTATCTTTGTGTACAACAAAACATCTTTTTGATCGTGCTTCTTACATTTTACAATATTTCCGGGGAGTCCGGGCACTTTTAAGAAGCCCCTAAGGACTAAGCTAGGACAAATCCGGAGAACCTCGGATGGATATCAGCCCTACTCAGCACTAGTCTACTGAAACCGTATATTCTCGAAGTATACATCATTTAATTTGGCTTAATGATTTGGTTAGCATTGACGAGTAAGGCTATCAATGTTGCCACCGCTGTTGTTTCCGGAAAAGTACGAATCAAGGACTCCGCCAGTCCAAAATCCGTATCAATAAGCAACTTCTTACCATCTGAAGCTGCAGGTCCATGTTAAAAAATCAGTGATATACCCAAAGTCATAACCCGCTCAAATTTAGTCGGATGTTTGCAGCGGACGCATTAAAAAATTGCCCTCCTTAATCCGCATCACTGAACGCAGTCCAGCAGACATTTGGATAGTGTCAAACACGCACATAATGACGTACACTGCCTTGTAGAAGAGTGCCCTTCCCTATTTTCTGAATGAGTCAATTTAAAGAACAACATTTGCAGGTTTCAAGGCAGCGACTTAGGCCCGTATCGTCAGTCGTCCCTACAATTGTAGGGCGCGTTTATGGCCTCCTTGATTGTCATACTCCTGTCTCTCCTTCAAAAATTTCTAGATTACACTTGTCCCGTGTCAGCGTCAGCGCTCTCCTATTGTGAAGATATGTTTTTTTTTTAATTGTAGGAAATTTCAGGCTGATAAAACATGATATAACTCAAAAGCAAGCACAACTTGATGCAAATATATGTTTGTGACATAACCTCAAAATAGAGTTCTGACACGGAGAAGTAGAAAACTATGACAATCAAGGAGGCCATAAAGGCGCCCTACAATTGTAGGGACGACTGACGATACGGGCCTTAATGCGTCATTTTAAAATTCTGTATATGAAAGTGTTGGCTGTCAAAGTTGAGCGTTTCTTTTTATTGAGTCACTCATAACTAAACAACTAGTCATCAGACTGATATAAAAATCTTCTCCATTGGAAGAGCATAACTCTGGATTTGCAATAGAATATGTGATATTCAAATTATAAAAATTTGGCAGACTTTGGCAATTTTTTAAATTTAATGTTCCGCATCTTTTGCATATCTGGATACTATACGCCTTTTGGCTTTAGGCTGTTCATTTATAAGCGACTCAATGTGCAAAAGCTCCCAGCTTTGACGGCCAGATCATCATTTTGAAAGACAGTGATGTCATTTCCTAGGATTATATACACATTATACAGGGTGTCCGCAAAGTTGGGGTTTTCCTTTACACGACGTGTAGATCTTGAAAACATAAGCAATTTTTCTT